CACAGTGGCCCATACCTGTAATCCCAGTACCCTAGGAGGCTGAGTCAGAAGGATCACAAGCTTGAGCCAGAGCTGGGCAACTTACTGACTTAGTAAGGCCCTGTCTCAATCAATCAATCCATAGGGTTAGAGATGTAGCTCAGCGGAAAGGCCGAGGTTGAATCCCAAATACTGAAGAAAAGGAAAAGGAGAAGATCAGCCATTTGCTCCATTTTAGGCCAAAGCTCTCCTGGGGAAGCTGCTGCTGCTGTACTTGAGCACGGAGTTGCTAGTGCTCCGTAAGCACCAGGAAGACAGCTGTCTGTGCAAATATCAAACGACAGCAGGGAAGCCCTTGCACCATGCTGCCGTGGGGTTAGGCCCTTCGCATTCTCTGTCTAATGAAGAAGCAAAAGGAATTTGTTTTGGAGCTGCGCTGGTAAGGAAGCATGAATAGTAAAATTGGAGACAGCCCTTTTATGATCTCTCCTTCACCCAAAACGTGTCCTTCCCACCGTCAGAAAGCTCAGTTTCAGAACACTGACGATGCATGTTTGAAAGCTTCAGAAATCCTCTAGAAAATGCAAATACCTCTGGGACAGGTAACACCTGCATCACAGTGCTGAGAGGAACTTGAAGAAAATCTAACGAGATGCCCTTATTTTTTCAAATTAAAAAACAGGAGCCCCAAGAACTCAGTAGCCAGATTAAAGATGCTTGGTGAGATGGCGGCAGAGGTAGGGAGTCGTAGCTCTCCTCACACCCAGGCAAAACCAGGAGCAACGCCGAGTACTCACGGGGGAGGCGAGCGCAGACGGGTTATGACAGTAGATTTCAAACTCACTGTTCGTCAGAGAAGCTGCAGGCTCAGCCCGTTTTATTTTTTATTTATTTATTTTGTATTTTGAGACAGAATCTTGCTAAGTCATTGTGTTGCCCAGGCAGGGCTCAAACTTTCAAACTTGCAATCCTACTGCCTCAGCCTCCCAAAATACAAGGATTACAGGCAAGAAACTGCCTGCCTGCCTGCCTGCCTGCCTTCTTTCCTTCCTGCCTTCCTGCCTTCCTGCCTGCCTTCCTTCCTTCTCTTCTTCCTCTCACAGTACTAGGGATTGAACCCAGAGCCTTTGCACTGAGCTAAATCCCCAGCTCTTCTAAATTGTAGAGACAGGTTCTTGCCAAGTCACTAAATTGCCCAGGCTGGGTTCAAACTCATGATCCTCCTGCCTCGGCCTCCCAGAGTGCTGGGATTACAGGGGTGTGCCATTATCCAAGCTGCTTTTTTAGCTGGCACACAAATTGCTCCCTGGAGATTTGTTTCAAGCATATTCTGTGAGTTATGGTGCATTGGTTCATCTGACCACGCAGATCACCTGGACTGCAGAGCTTGCTGAGGAAAATAGAGTGTGTCCCTGTGTGAGTGGTGGTAAAGGCAGAGACAGAAACCCAGGCCTCTGGTGTCTAGAGAGCGCAAGCTCGGAAAACAGCGCAGTGCCAGGGCCTGTGCAGTGAGGGCAGCTGTCTCAGTTACTTACCTCTTGCTGCTGAGACAAAATACCCAACACCCGAGGTTAAGGAAGGAAAGAATTGTTTAGCTCACAGTTTGTAGAGGCTTGAGTGCATAATTAGCTGGCTTCAAGGCAAGGTGGCGCATGGTAGAGGGGCAATGGTCACAGCTGGAGCAAAGGGAGGAGCAAGCCTCTTTTCCTCCTTCATACTGTATGCAGGCTTCCTGCCCTAGGGCAGGTGTAGCACTCGCACCGACAATGAGCCAATCACAAACTCTAGATCCAGCTGCCTGGAAAAACCCATTTGTGCCTAAACACAAATCAAAACAGCAGGACAAACAAACAAACAAAAAACAACAAAAAAAAAAACAGCGGATAAGATGCTTGGGGGTTTGGAAGTAGAGGAGCTACGAGGGAAGGGAATGGCCAGGTGTGGTGGCACACACCTGTAATCCCAGCACTTGGGAGGCTGAGGCAGGAGGATTACCAATGTTCCAAAGCCAGCCTGGGATACACAGTGATACCCTGTCTCAGAAAAAAAAAAAAAAAAAAAAAGAGGGAAGGGAATGAAAAGGAGACAAGAGAGCCACAAAATGCTCTTGACAATTTATATTACAAATTCAAATGCACTTCTCAAAGTTAAAAGGACAGAAGGTGGAAAGGGTTGGAGATGTAGCTCAGTGTGAGCACTTGCCGAGACTGTGCGAGCCCTGAGCTCAGTTCCCAGAATGAGAGACAGAGAACTGCATCCAGGTGTTTGGTTCTGGAGGATGGGCTCCCACGCACAGCGCTAGTCCAGCCTTGCCCTCCCAGGCCAGCACCCTCTGTGATTTCTTCTGAACGGGACTGGCTTTAGGAGGACACGAAATTACTGTGCTCTGAGAGTGGGACTGCACAGTGCGCGTTGCATTGGTAAACTTCCTGGCGAGGGTTAGAGAAGGAAAACCTGACACTGGGAAGGGTAACAGCAGGACGATGACCGGTGAATGGCTGTTCCTCCAGGAAACTACCTCTTTCTCTGACTGCCCCAAAGTACCCCGAATCAAGGCCACTTACCAAATATGGTAAAAATCTGCACAGACCTGAGGTATGAGGGAAAAGAGAACCCAAAAGATTTAAAATTGCGAGATTACATAGAGGAAAGGTCACACCGTACCAAAAGGCCATGGCTCGCTGACCCTTGTGATAAGAGACAGGTTAACAAAAGAAAAGCACAATAAAATGATTTGATCCTGATTCTACATGACACGAGGGCTTCAGATTAAAGAGCCAAAGATCTGAGGTAAACTGTCCATTGTCACATTTAGGCTCAATAAAGCATGGAGATCCATGTAGAAATGTGACTGGACAAAAAGCCGTGCGCTAATGTGAGCAGACCGAGGTGGAAGCCGCGAGACCTGGCTGCTCAGATTCTCCTGGGCCCCGGTGCAGCATTCCTGTCTTGCAGGCACGGGGCAACCCCCTTCTGGAAGAGGACTTCTAGAATCCTCAGTCGAGGTAGGTCAGAGAATTTCTTTTTTGGCTAGAAATTACATACACCGAAAGGCAGGAAACTTCGAGTAATATTTTTAGGTTTTACGTCTGGCCCTGGGGAAAGTGTATTGTGGTTTCTATGATCTGCGTTGGGAAAGAGGAATTCTAGTTTCTATGGCTTGCCCTGCCTTGGGGAAGAGGCAAGGGGCAGGAGGTCAGAAGAAGGTCAAAGAGAAACTGCTTCTGAGGCTTCCCGTAAAGGGTACCATTTTTCTGAGACCCAACAATTACCCAATCCAACCACTTGCATATTTTCAGGCTTTTAAGTAATGAGTGAAGAAGACATTTAGAATCAGACAATTGAAAGAAGAGAAAAAAGTTCCAGACGATGGTAAAATTACTGAAGCTATAACAAATTCAAAATGGAGAACACACAAAAAACATGTCATTTAGGAATACTTGGATGTCTGTTGTCTTGAACATCTTTGAGATCAGCGAAACAGAGAGATTCAAGGAGACAGCAGGCTCCAAATCAACTCATCTCCATGAGCAGACTGATATTCAAAGAGGAATGGAGCAGAAGTCTTTGTTAATCATAATAAAGAATTTGCTGTATTCAAATGAAATAACAGCAAAGTGGAAGCATGCCAGGGCAAAAACAGTTTTCCAAGCAGGAATAAAGGGAACGCTAGGAAATTGCAGAGCCTTCATCTCAATGTCTGTAATTTGCAAAATAATGGAAACAATAGCAGGGTAAGTTTGCCAAACGCATTTACAAATGAGTATCACTCCCTTTCATCAAGCTAGAGATAACCAGCGAGGCTGGATGGAAGATGGGGGCTTATAAATCTCTTTTTCCTTGATGGGACCTAGGACACAGTTCACAGCTACATAGAACTACCTGACTTTACTGTCCAGATAACTTTACATAGAAGCTATTCTCTAATGTACCCATCATAGAAGAGAGTAAGATAAAAAGCAAAGCAAAGAAAGAAAGTACTAAATGTTGTCTCCGTTATCAACTGTACTCTACGCTCCTCTTCCCTCCTCTCCTCTCCTCTCCGCTTCCATTTCCTCCCCTTCCCTTCTCCCTCTCCCCTCCCCTCTCTACCCCTCCCCCTCCTTTTTCCTCCTAAAGCCAAAATATGGCATAAAACTAAAAAGGAATTTAAGAAATCACATAAACCACCCTCTTCAGATTGTATCAAAACCATCCGAGGTAAACGTATTCCTAAGGATGATCAGAGCAGGTCATTCCGTGCCCCAACTCCCACCTCAGTGGAGTACTTCACCACTCTTCCTGAACACATCCTTCCTGCTATAAGTTGGCGGGAATTTCATCCCACTTTCCATTGTCTAGTCCTTCCTGAACTCACCTAACACTAGAAAACTTGCATTCAGTCCCCAGCAGCGGGGCTGGGGATTTAGCTCAGCGGCAAAAGTGCCTGCCTGGCCAGTGCAAGGTCGTGAGTTCGGTTCCCGGTACCGGAGAAAAACCAAAAAGAAAAATAAATATAAAAATCAGTCCCCAGTGGCACAGCCCACAGATTACATGGTTCAGGCATACTATCTGCACTAGCCTTATATTAATTATCCCACTTGACTACTACGTCATCTTCAGGAGGAGCCTTGAGCTCCTAACAGTCTGATGATCTAGTACAAACTGTGTCCAACCTGGGTTTTGTAGTGTGGGAGTGAGCGAGACACTTGGCCCTCTGGGCTGCCGACAGGTGTCTCTGCAAGCGGATGATCCGCCCGTAGTTTCCAGTCACCAGGTAGTTCTCCTCGGTAAGCTTCATTCGATCAGCATCCATGGCAGGTATAAAACCAGTCTCCCTCTGCTGCTTTTTTCCATTCATGATTTTTCATCCTGGAAAATAGTCTTCTTTACATTTGAATAATTGAGACCATCAGGTTTTACTTTCCTAAGTTATCATTTCACAAACAAAGAAAAAACCCCTTTCTCTATTCCTTGCCATTCTGATAATTTGTATTGTGTAGGTAGGGTTCTCAAAAGGAACAGAATCAATAGAAAATGTATGTGTATAATTATGCAAAGGGATTTATTGGTAAGCTTCAGGAGCAGAGGTGGGAGAGTTCACCACGGCTGTCCACAGAATCGGAGGCATTTGCGTGCTGTAGAGCCGGAGGATCCGGTAGCTACTGAGCCCAGGAAGACCGAAGCTGCAGAACAAGCAGGATCAGGGACGCAGCTCTAGTCCAAGGCTGAAGGCCTGGAAGCCCACTGCAGAGTCACCGGTGCAAGTCTGCATTGGCAGCACTGTAGCACAGCTGAATTGTACCTTAGTCAACGATTCATCCAAGACTATGGCAAAGGCGTAACCTGTAAACTTGAGTGCTACGTTTGCAAATACATCGGCTCCCTGTGCCACCTGTACATACTATGCTGCATTTACATACTTTTTAAGAAAGGCTGTGGCCCTTTTTACTCTTCATACCTTAAAGAAAGAAAAGGGAAAAAGGAACTGGAGGCTTGGGGAGTAATGTCCAAAGGTGGCGGCAGCAGAGGATACACCTGCTGAAGGAGGCCGGAACTGAAGGAGGGCACACTGCCTTCTCCTTTCCCTCTGTATTCCACCCAGGCTATCATCCTACTGGTTGGTGCCAGCCACACTGGGATGGTTCTTTCCCTCTCGATTTGCTGGCCGACGTGTCAATTATCCACAGGCACACCCAGCATTGTGCTTTTCTAACCTGCTAGGAATTTCTCTCCTCAGCCAAGCTGACATATCACAATTAATCATCACAGGATTTCACATGGAGACGTGCTCCTCGTCTATGGAAAATTAATGCCTCCGAACCTGCTCTGAAACTTATCCTGTCTGCCTCTCGGCAGGCCTCTTGCTCTTCACCATCTTTTTCAACAAGTTCCTTCTTCTCAATCTACAATCATGTTCAAGGCTCTACCTTCTAAATCCCTCCCCGAAGCCCAGTGCCGCCTTCTAGCTACTCTTTTTTCTCTGCATATCTTCAGAGACAAGTGCTTGTTTTGTTTTGTTTTGTTCTGGAACTAGAGATTGCAAATAGGCTCTTCTTCACATGAGCAAGGAGTCTGCCATCCACTCCACGCGCAGCCGGAAGTTGCCTCTCTTGACGAATGATTTCCACTCAGCACTCCACTGCTTTACTCCCAGCAGTGCCCGGAAAGGAACACAGCAGAAGTTTCTAGCAACCTCCTGACTTCCACGTCCTTCTCTCGGCTGTCTTAGTCACTCCGCAGTAACTGATGCTTTGCCCACGTCTCACTTGCAGCTCTTCCCTCAGTTTTGAGGCCCCCCACCTTTGTCTTCTGGCTTGTCAGCCTCCGGTAACCCTTCTACATGAACCGTGCTGGCCAATGCTCCGTTCTGGCCGCTCCTTCTTTGCTCAGGAAATTTCACGCTCCGTTGGTTCAGACACCTAAACTGGAGAAGATTTCATAGCTACATTTCAGCTCTGCCTTCTTCTCCTGCTTGAGACACATGTGTTCACATTTCTTCTAAAAAACTGTTCAACTGCTCAGTTTACATGGTTCCTTCTTCCTCCCTCCCTCCCCACTGCCCCTCTTCCCGCTGTGCTCTCTCTTAACTGGTGAGGTCAGCATCACTCCATTCTCCTACAGCAGAAACCTGAGTTCATTCTGGATTTCTTGCCCCGACAGGGTGGATCTCACCTCACTGGTGCCTTGGATGCTCTCCCCTAAGCCTTTCTGTGTCCAGCCTCTGTGCTTCTGGGAGAGGGTAGAGGGCTGGCACTCAAGGCAGCCTCCGATCACAAGAGTCTCTCTCTTGCTGTCTCATAGCTTCCTGTTGCCTGTGTAACTCCGCCCAGGAGGTGCAAAGCCCTGCAAGGTCTCGTGTTGCTGCCCTGCCCCCTTCCCAGCGACTGGGCTCCACCTCCGTCACCTCGGCGATGCCACTGGGCTTCCTCCTCAGGTCTCTGTGCCCCACCCCCGCTGCCTAGAGAGCTGCAAAGCCCCGAGCAGACGCCACCTCTTCAGCAAAGACTTCTGTCACCATTCTGTCCCAGTGTGTGGGGAGGGATCACCACCTCTCTCTCCTGCCTGTGAATGTTTCACATACTTAATTGTCAGCCTATGGTGTACTGTTAGTATTTGTTGCTATGTCCGTCTTCCTTTCGGGACTCGGAACTCCTCGGGAGTACAGGCCAGGCATTTATCTTTGTGTTCTCTGGAAAGGTGCTTACAATATGGCAAATGAATTGAGTTAAACTGAACTGACAACAAACGTCCCACAAAGTGCTCAAGGATGTAGAGGACTGTTGCTTTACTTCCCCGCCTTCTCCACAGTAGAGGGGTAATTTGCTGTCCGGGTCCACTTGCGTTTCTCCTGCACCGTCACAGCGCCGCATCCACAGGAGGCACGCAAGCAAATGTTTGCCAGACGGGTAATGGTTCTGTCTTAACATAATAGGAGCCCGGCCCCCACAGGGTCATTCTCAAACTCTGTGTGTTTGGTCACTGCGTTGGACAGTAGGTAATTATATACTAGTAAAAAATAAAAATAAATTAAAAAACAAGTGTAGGAAATCTGGCTGGCCACCCTCTTCTCTGAGAACTCTTGCAGTAAAAGCAGATCCACATAGGACATGATTTCCCTCCTCTTCAAGTTTTGGGCCTTCTGCACGGAGTTTAAAGGGCTCAGGTGTGGCTGGACGGAGCACACCGACTTCCAGCTGTCTCCTGTGGATCTTGGTTTTTTGGGTTTTTTATTTTTTGTCTTTGTACCAGGATTCGAACTTGGGACCTTGTGCTTGCCAGGCAGGCGCTTGTGCCACTGAGCTATATCCCCGGCCCTCCTGTGGATCTTTGAACTGGAAGTTTGATAAGGCCCAGGCCAGGGAGCAGAGAGAGCAAAGGGTAATGTCAAGCGTGGGAAAAAGACAGAGAGAACAGGAAGGGATGGGAGAGAGGAGAGGGGGAAGAGAGAAGGAGGGAATGAGAGAGAAGGAGAGGTGGAGGCCGAGAAGGGAGAGGGAAAGGGTAGAGGAGAAGAGAGGAAGAGACGGCGCCCTAGGGCCCGTTTCCAGAATTTCTGAGCCTCAGCCTTGTTTCAGACTTCGGCTTTCATGAGCCTTGTGCCCCCCTGAAAAATTCCCTCTGTCTTCTTTGGATCTTATCAATAAAGCAGCCAGAGTGATTTCAGAACAAAAACAAAACAAAACAAAATGCCTCTCAAATATAATCAAGCCATAATGGCGGCCTTTTGCTCGCTCCAACCTGCCATGTTCCCTTCGGCTCTGGGCCCACAGGTGGAGGGCGACTGGGGGTAGTGGTCTGTCAGGCAACTGCCGGGGGCCAGATGCCAAACAAGCTAAATGAGGGGGTCCCTGTCAGAAGTGGGAATAAGGCAGTTGCATCACAAAGGAGGACCGGGGCCTGGGGGGGCGAGGGCCTGGAGGAGTTGAGAGGGGTCCCTTTGGAATAGGGCACAGCCTACAAGGTGACAGCATTCCTCAATTGTAGAGCCCAGGGGACTGATTTTCTTTTTTTTTTCATCTTTTTGAGACAGAGTCTTGCTATGCAATTCAGGCTGGCCTTGAGCTCACTTTGTAGTCCAGGCTGGTCTCAAACTTGCAACGATCCTCCTGTCTCAGCCTCCCAAGTGCTGGGATTACAGGCATGCGCCACCACGCCCAGCTGATTTTCTGCACCTATTACTGCAGGCCTGGCCTCCTGGCTTTGTGGGACTTGGAGGTTAATTAATTTTAAAAGCCCTCTTAAGGGAAAAAATACAAAACTGTTTTAAAAAAAAGAGTATACATTTAGAGTGAAAGAAGAAATCACAATAAATTATAAATAATAAAAATCTGAAAACCCAAATCCAGACTGACATAATTTTGTTGTAACTATTACTAATTAACTGTCTGACACACTTCTACAATATCTTTTCCCTACATCTTTTCTCTGTATCATTTTTCTTTTTTATCACAAGCAAGTTAATACAACAAACTTTACCATGTCAGGTGAAAAGTTCAGTGGGTTTTTAAGCGTGTCTCCTATGCTCTGCAACCATTACTACTACACAACTGCGAAACATCTCCATCATTACCTCAAAGAGCCTGTCTCGGGCAGCTGTCAGTTCCGGCCTCTCCTTTGTTGATTTGCCTGTTCCAGACATTTCGTGTGAACGGTATTACGTGATGTGTGGCCATTTATATCTGGTTCCTTTCATGTAAGATAAAGTTTTCAAGGTTCACTCATGTTGCAGATTATAACAGTACTGCATTCCTTTTTCAAAAAATCCTACTGAGGGGGAATTCACAGAACATAAAATCACCCATTCCAAGTGAACGATTCTGAGGCATTCAGTACATTCTCAACATCATGCAATCAGCACCTTTGTCACCTTTCAGAATATTTTTATTATTCCGGAAGGAAACCCAGTACTCACTGCACAGTTAATCCCGATTTCCCTCCCGCCAGCACCAGGTAACCGCCCACCTACTCTACATGGGTTTGCTTATTCCGGATCATCCACATGAATAGAATTGTACAGGACGTGACTTTCTATGTCACGCTTCCCTCACTTGGTGTAATGTTTTTGACATTACGCTCACTTTGTTAATGTTCACCCATGTCGTGGTGAATAATATTTCATTGTGTAGATAGGCATACCACACTTTGTTTATTCGTTCATCTGGTGATCACCATTGGGAGATTGCCTGCCTTTTGACTACTATAAAGAGGGCTATTCTATATACACTGATCTTTTTGAGTATCTGATTTCAAATACTGTAACAGAGAAATTGCTGGGTCATAAGGTAATATCTCTGTGTTTTACTTTTTTTTTGAAGGTGTGCCAAACTGGTTCAAGCAGCAGAATCATTATACAATCCTATCCAAATGTATAAGAGCTCCAATTTCTCCATAACTCATCCACCCTTGTTGTTTTGCTTATTTTTTCATTGTAGTCACCCTCCTAGGTGTGAAACCATATCTCATTATCATTTTATCTTACATCTAATAACTAATGATGCTGAGGATATCTCTACCTTTTATGCATTTGCATATATTTTTGGAAAAATATCCAAATCTCTTGCCCATTTTTAAATTGGAATATCTTTTTGTTGTTGAGTTGTAAGGATGTGTTATATATGGTAGGTATTAGACTCTTACCAAATATATGATTTGTACATATTTTTGCCCATTTTTGGAGTTTTCTTTTTAATTTCTTGACAGTATACCCTGGCTTATCAGTTCTTCTATTTTCTTTTACTTCTATTTTTCTTTGACTTCAATTATATTAGTTTTGTTTCAATGTTTTGAGTTCTATTTTTAGATATATGAGCATATATGATTCATATTTCTTTTTGATGGGCTGATTCTTTTATTACTATATAATGTCCTTCTTTGTCTCGAGTGATACTTTTTGCAGCTAAGTCCATTTTGCTCACTGTTAAAATAACTTCAGCTCTCTTTTGCTTGCCATTTGTGGAGTGTTTCTCATTCTTTTACCTTTGATCTATTTGTATCTTTGAATCTCTTACAGACAGCATCTAACTGGATCATGTTTTTAAAACATTTGCCAATTTTGCCTGTTAACTGATGAGGTTAATCATTTAAGTGTAAGGTAACTACTGATTTTTCAAAGAGAGACTTCTGGTCAGGTGTGGTGGTACCTGCTCTAATGCCTGTGCTGGGCTTTACTCCCCTGTACTTGGGACCCTAAGGCAGGAAGTTTGAGGCTGGCCTTGGCAATTTGGGAAGACTTTATCTCAAAATAAAACAAGAGGTGGGGTGTGGCTCAGTGGTACCACAATGCCTAGGATGTTTGCGGGCCTGGGTTCAACTGCTATTTGTTTTCTATATGTCTTACATCCTCTTATTACTTATTTCCTCCATAACTTCCTTTTTTTATGTCAAATAGATATTTTCTGATATGCCAATTAAATTCCCTTGTCACCCTCTTTACCATATTTTTAGTTATTTTCCCTGTGGTTGCTCTGTTCATTATAATTAACCTCATAATAATTCACCTCATATCAGTATCAATTTCATATTAATACATCAAGTCATTGCTTTTGCAGTTTTGTTTCCCACTCCTCTGCGCTATGAAGTTTTTGTTATAAATCATATCTTTATACCTTGTGTCTGTCACCATAGATTTGTAAATGCTGTTTTATACATTTGTCCTTAAATCATAAAGAAAAGGAGTTACAAACAAAAATATATATTCACACTATCTCATATAATTACTACTACCAAAAATCTTTTATGATTTCTAATTATTATCTACTGTCCTTTTATTTCATTTCAACCTGAAGGACTTGCTATAGCATTTGTTGGAGGATGGATTTATTAAAAAATAAACTCAACTTTTATTAATTTCTCTTCATTTTTGAAGGATACTCTAGCTAGGTAAAGAATTCTTGGCTGACATTTTTTCTCTAAGTATTTTCAGTATGTCATGGCACTGTCACTGGCCTCTGCCATTTCTCATGAGAAGTCACCTGTTAATCTTACTGGGGTTTATTGAGGAACTGAGTTGGTGGTGGTTACTAATATTAACATTGTGATGAGAAATATTAGCAGGTATTGGAAAAATGCGTCAATGCCAGAGCCACGAGGTCAGCCAGAGGTGAGAGCTTACGGCCTTACCAGCCCACCGCTAAGCATCTATGTCATCTCAGCTTCTCAAAGCTTTCATGGACATCTCCCTCAGCCTGGCCTGTCAAAGATTTTGGTTTGTTCCAACTGTTATCTACCACTTCAGGCGGCAACAACCAAAATATTAGCCTGCAACTGCTTTTGACAAAAGCTTCCCTCCTTCCTAGTAGCTTT